TACCAGTGTAAGAAGGTTAAATCTGAGCGCAAAAACAAAGATTTGAAGGAGAACAGAGTGAATTTGAAAGAGAGCAGACATTTTGAGCGCAAGCATTACAAGGTTTGAGAGCAATAATATAAAATCTTATTCTGAAATTAAAAAGTTGGTCTCTTGATATGAAATTCTGCTCTCAAATTGAAAGTTCAAATGCTCAATTTCTGGCACTTTAATTCTTCCACGCCTCCAGAGTGCCAAAACTCCCAACAGCCGAGTGAGCAGAATCAGAAATCGAGCGCGCAGAAAGGCTGCCACACGCGCAGTGAGGCTGCCGTGCGCATGTTTTCCTCTGCCGTGTGCTCGTTGGCCAATGCGCGCACGCAGGTTTGTCACTTGCGCACATCCTTGTGCGCTCACAGACACAGTTTGCTCCCTCTCAGTGTACAAATGACCTCCTCGCCATGTATATTTTCACTCATGAGGTTCTAACCTCCACGAGCGAGTCCCGTTCGCACGCGCGATGTGGACAATAAACGTGCACGGGTTTTGGCGGAAACCTGACACCATATCAGTTAACTTCCAATTTCCCTGAAACCTGTTCCGTGCAGAAGGAGCAGAGTGAACGAAAGCCATTTTGCCCAGTTCTCTGTGAGCAAATGGAACACAAAGTAACAGCGGATCATTTGCACGCAGACTGTGAGAAGTTCCACTTCTCTGTGAGATGAAGTTACACATGTAATTGGGTAATCCAAGCATGGCCTTATAAATGAAAGTGTACCAATGTCCCAACCTCCTGGTGGACAAAGAAGGCCGTCCCACTGGAGAATACAATCCACAACCATGTGTAACGTACCAAAAGGCCATGTATTTCATCCAAATGACCAAAAGTTATCTTCTTCATACAGGTCAATCTGACACCGTGGTGCCGATGTGAAATCTATGATCTTGACCCAATACTCTTAACTTATCCTGTGGTATATCATAAGACATCAGGATGCTGCAGAAGACGCAAGACTTCTTATCTATCTTCTTTGAATAAAGTTGATCTTTTCTGGCTCATAAAATGACTTTCATTTTATGTTATATACAATCATATTTTGTTGAATTGACAATATGTTTAAGTCTAAAGTGTTTAATAATGTGTCCAATGCTCTATAGTAATGAATGATGGGTTAACATGAATGTTCATTCCTATAATGATTTATTCCTGATCTTAATTTACACCAGATTAGTATATTTTAATGTTTGCTTATCAATATATTCACACGTTAATATTATTGTTAATGGTTAATATAGTCACGTCACATAAATGTTTGGCATTTTATTCCACATTAGGTGAAATAACCTCTCTAAGTGTTGGAGAAAGGAGTGGTGTCTGAGGTCTTTGATAAACGCCCACTTCAACTTCTCAAATTCTGATTGGTCCAAACTGATAAACAACAGTTAATAAAGCTCGTTCACTTCCTGAACAAGCCAGTTCTAGCGAGTTGTTGACCGACTGGTTTAGATTTATAGTCACAGAAGGTTTTGAATTGATCTGAAACTGCATTTAGCCAGTCCCAGTTGAATCGATGACTCGATACAATCTGCTGCGTTCTTTATAAGGAAACCTTTTACTGAGTAACATAATGAACTGAACTGTATTGGAACGTTTGGTTCTGTGAAGTCCCTTGAGACAACCCTTGTCATTTGGGGCTATATAAATAAAATAAAATAAATTGAAATGGAAATCTTAATTGACAACCAAGAGATCAGGAACATAACAGCAGGCTTCTCACAGCCACAGAGACACGCTGGTTTGAACGTTGTTGCTCCGTACCAAACCGAGGTGTGGAAGATAAAATCAGCTCCCTCTACCTCTAACTACACGTACAAAGTAGCTGCTTCTATAATTCTTGATTCCCTATATTGTTATCATTACAATGTGTTTATTTCTTAATTCTAATTTTGCTCATCATTTACTTTTTTCTTGTACCAAGTACCGCAGCGATTTCCTATTGTTGTGATTCACGCACATATGGCAATAAAACCCTTCTGATTCTGATTCTTCCATGAACATCTGGTTCTCCTCCATTCACTTCTTCTTGGAGTCACTTTGTTCAGGATGTTGTCTGGAAAAGCTCTTTGCCTCACAAACGTTTCCTCTCTAACAAGCTGAAGTCTTCCTTTTGTGACAGGGTGAGTGTGACTGTATCCAGATTGATCATGCGCCCTGGCTGCTTTAGGTTAGTTTCATCATTCAGTTCAGGAGGTGTTAAGACTCTTTAAGGAAATGAAATGTGTCTGATTAGCTGCAGCATCATGATCCAGTCAGAGCGCCGAGGTCAGCATCTCAGCTGCTTCTGGACCCCACCACCAGATGAAAAACAACATCTGATGGAGCCTTAACTGCCACTTACACATCAGCGTCGGTACGGTCCGGGGAGGATAGCGTCAGTTCGGTCTCGATGGGCGGTGTAGTGTTTACATATACTGTAAATCTGAAGGACTTCTCAGGAATGTGGAAATCCCCGAGACGCTGGGCGAAAGACCGCGGTTTCCACCATAAGATAAACAAAGGCAGGCATGTGTGGCTTTTGGAGACTCTGAACCACATTATTTTATTAAATTGCTGTGTGTGTCCTCATAAGACGCATTCGGACTGTAGGAACCTTTTGTAGTTCCTAGGACCTTTCCAGCCCCCTTTTGCGCGTGTTGGACAGTAGGAACTAGGAACCTTTTACCGTAGTTCCTAGAACCATTTTAGCTCCTACTCTGAGGCTGTGTCTCAATTCAGGGTCTGCATCCTTCGAAGGACCCAGCCCACCCCGCCGACGTGGGCTGGGTCCTCCGTCGGCCGAGTAGACCGGATGTTAACGGCTGTGAATTTGGACAGGCCTAGCCTTCATGAATTCCCGCCTCTCCCTCGGCGAACGTTCCGTCGCCTAGCAAACGTGGAACCGCTGAGCAGGAGGGAGAAGGAACTTTAAACGATGGAGCTCGAAGTTTTATTTAGCTTTTTAATCATTTCCTTGACTGTTGGAGAGCTAATTCAGAGAAAATACTTTCGACTGAGCCTGAGCAAAGATGTGATAATAGTTTTTAATACTTTCTAAGGGTCTTAATTTGACCAAAACCGATTTATCACCTTTTAAGACTTTAAGACCCAGCGGGATACCCTCTAGTAAACAATTCTCATTTGTAAACCAAAATCAAATTCAAGAGTTTAATGCAGAACTGATTTTATTTAGATATTTATTTTATATGTACATGTTTAATCTTTATTAACCATTTTTTTCTAGCAAAGTAAAAAGCTGTCAAAGTTCTTCCTTCTCTCCTGTGCCCTCTGCTGCTCTGCCTCCCTCTGCAGCCTCATGTCCTCCCTGATCAGCTCCAGGAGCTGGTCATCGCTGTCACCTTCCCCTGGATGCCCATTTTCTCCAGAATAGTCTTAACAAACATGTAAGAAAAAAAAAAATCAGGAAGAGAAAAGATAGACAAAAGAGGACAACGGGTCCTTTCGATTTCGCAGAAAAACTAAACTCAAACGAGTTTTTAAAATATGAGATGTTATTGTACCTCCATGCCACAGCCGCTGAATACTTTGCTCCGGTGATCATGTGGTCCATCTTCGCCCTAAGCTTAATAAATTCCCTGGTTTTCTCATTTTTCCCTAAAATACAAACTCCTATTAAAATCAGGGGGAAAATGTAGCGGGAGAAGTACGACACCGAGCGGCCGAACATACGAGCCGAGACCGCAATACAAGCACTTTTACTGTAACATTTCTAACTAAAATAACGTTCATGTATCACAAAAAGTCCTTAACCTAACAGTTTTCAAGTTTATACTTACATTTATATGCGCAATCCTCTCCAACAGCTCTCGCTTCACTGTCCGCCATTGTTTTTAAGTTTTTCTGCCGGCTGGCCCGCAAGGTATCTTGGGAAATGCTACCTATTGAAGGAAACACGGGACCCATCCTTCATTCAGGCGAAAAGAAGGCCGCATTCGTCGACCGCATTTGAAGGAGTCTTCGAATTGGGACATGCATAGTCGCGGCGCTGTGACGTAACCGGCCGACGAATCCGGCCGACGTAGGATGCAGACCCTGAATTGAGACACAGCGTGAGGCTGGGACTTTCTGTGGTTCCTACGGAACTAACGTGACATCGGCGCTTAGCGAGCTACGCCCCTTGCCTGATTTCTGCATCTTTTCTGTTCCGAATCATGTTTGTTTAATAAGAAACAGACGGGACTACATCCCGGATACTCCTGCTGCCGCTAGCACACCTCGCCAAAACTGAACAGGTAAATAAAACAGTCTTAAGGTGTTAGAAAGTGTTTTGTTTCTTCTCTTGATATGACGGAAGGAAATTGTCCCTTGTGGGATTAAATCACAGAGCGAAAGCCGCCAAGAGCGAGCATGCTTGTACCAAATTAATATGTAGTCAATTCGCTTTCCTTCGGTGAATTTCTACTTTGTTGATGTTCGCACGTGTGAACCATGTGCACGAACACATTCAGTGCAAACACACACGCGCACACATGCAGTTAAATGTCTTAAATTGTGTGCATTAATCTTATAGTACAAGCAGTAGAGTTGTTATCATCTGTAATATGTTTTAATGGTGGGCTGGTTTGATTAATATGTGTGATAGGCTGGGCGATCAACTGGTTGAGACACCAACCAGTCCTGCTACATCTACATACAAACAGTCCAAAGAACTGGGTGTGAGCGTAGCCTCTGTGTGGCCCTCCACATACGGCCCCTTGAACACCCAGATGGTCTGTTACACATACGTTTCTGGTTCTGATCAAGCGGCCAAGCAGTCAACAATATTTACATACAAACAGTCCCAAGTCAATATATACGTCTGTGGTACCAAGAACTGGGTGCGAGTGTAGCCTCTTTGTGGTCCCCACAACATGATGAACACAAGCTTTAAAAACTCTGGACGTCTCCTGTGATTTAGATTCATCATATATTTTCCCCAGTTTCAGCTGAGTGTCTCATTTAGTAACAAAACATGATTGTGAACTCTCTCTCAAGTCAAGTTTATTATATAGCCCATTTCATACACAAAACGGTAGCCCAATGTGCTTCACATAGTTAAAACAATCACAAGTGAAATGAAATAGTTAAAATGTCACATCATGTTGTGTAAAATAAAATCAAAGAATATTGACACAGAACATAGCACACAAAAATAAAAGCATATTAAGTACAATTATTGGTAGCGCTTTCTTTTACAGTCCTCTAATTACTAAGTAATTACCATGGAAGTACTAAGTAAGTTAGTGTATTGTTTCTGAGTTTTTAAACTGCTATTACCATGTAACTCAGGTTCAATTCTAGTGTTTATTTTTATTAATCGTTCCTAGTAAATACTGCTTTACACAGTAACTACACTTTATTACAAGTATTCACTTTAATTACACAATAATACACGATAAAACAGCACAGAATAGGTATACATATAAAATACATATAAAATAAATTCAACACAGTACAGATAAAGACCTAGTAGAGCACAGATGAAAGGACAGGTTAATGGAAGGCATCATGAAAAAGTTTAGTTTTTAATCTGGATTTAAAAATGGAAATGGTGGGAAAGGTCTTAATGTCTATTGGAAGACAGTTCCAGAGATGGACCGCATAGCAGCTAAAGGCAGCCTCTCCGTGCTTGGTGCGGGCTCTGGGTTGTACCAGTTGGGATTTATCTGCTGATCTAAGTGATTTTAAAGGGTGATACGTTTCAAACATCTCTGCTATATACAGAGGTCGTTGGCCATTTAATGATTTAAAAGTAAGTAAAAGGTCTTTGAAATCAATCCTGTAAGTTACTGAAAGCCAATGTAAATATTTTAAGATTGGTGTGATATGATCATTTCTTTTGGTTCTGGTCTCTTGCTCTCTGTCTCTCTGCTCTGTGTAACACACAGCCTTCAGACCTGCGGAGAAAAAAAACTGCAAGATGCAGAAAAAAAGGATAAACCTCCAACCTTCATATTGTCAGCAATAAACGCAGGAAAACTTAACTTTCATGACTAAAAAACCCATAAAAATTATTCAGTATATCAGGAGAGCAGGAACAAGTCTTATTTCTGATTTTACATTTTTTACTTCAATTCAAACTATTTAGACTTTTGTGTTTTCATCATATTTAGCTTGTATTTTATATCAAATATCATCAGCTTTACAGGTTAGCTGTTCCTGTGTGCTTAAAATGTTATGTTACTAAGCTTCTAAAAAAATTATCAAATCATTCACATGATGTAGATTTGTTATTCATTATCTGAAAGTATCAGACTAGTTTAAAAAACTAAATATGTTTTGTTTAATTTGTTTTTCAGAAGGTCACTAGTTTACTTATACTTTTAATATATATATACTGATGTACTGAAATACAGAGAAATCAACTTGTGAGTACAATGCATGTTAATATAGTAAGTATAGCATGTTTAACATAAGCACATTCACACATGGAAAGTATCGATGTAAATAAATCATATGGCAGTAACTCTGCTGTACTTTCATTGTGTAAAAGTAGCTCACGGGCCAAAAAATGTTGGAGACCCCTTCAATAGATCGTTCAGCCCTAGTGGATGCTTAGATGATTGTTTAAAGTTTTCTTTCAGCGAAACCTTCGTCCACAGAGCTCACAAGCAAAAGGCTTCTGTCCTTTATGGACTCTTTTGTGACCGTTTAAACTGATCTTTTGGGTAAATCTTTTCCACCGAACTCACAGGCGAAAAGCCAGTGTGGACTCTCATGTGTTTGTTTAAACTTCCCTTTTCACTAAATCTATTACCACAGAGCTCACAGGCAAAAGGCTTCTCTCCTGTGTGGACTCTCATGTGACTGTTTAAATGTGTCTTTCGGCTAAATCTTTTTACACAGAGCTCACAAGCAAAAGGCTTCTCTCCAGTGTGGACTCTCATGTGTTTGTTTAAACTTCCCTTTTCACTAAATCTATTACCACAGAGCTCACAGGCAAAAAGCTTCTCTCCTGTGTGGACTCTCATGTGCTTGTTTAAACTTCCCTTTTCACTAAATCTATTACCACAGAGCTCACAGGCAAAAGGCTTATCTCCTGTGTGGACTCTCATGTGACTGTTTAAATGTGTCTTTCGTCTAAATCTTTTTACACAGAGCTCACAAGCAAAAGGCTTCTCTCCAGTGTGGACTCTCATGTGTTTGTTTAAACTTCCCTTTTCACTAAATCTATTACCACAGAGCTCACAGGCAAAAGGCTTCTCTCCTGTGTGGACTCTCATGTGAATGTTTAAATGTGTCTTTCGGCTAAATCTCGTTCCACAGAGCTCACAAGGAAAGGGCTTACCTCCTGTGTGGACTCTCATGTGTTCATCTAAAGACCATTTTTGGCTAAATCTTTGTCCACATAGCTCACAGGCAAAAGGCTTCTCACCTGTGTGGACTCTCATATGTCTGTTTAAAGTTGCCTGATGGCTAAATCTTTGTCCACAGAGCTCACAGGCAAAAGGCTTCTCTCCTGTGTGGACGCTCATGTGACTGTTTAAATGTGTCTTTCGGCTAAATCTCGTTCCACAGAGCTCACAAGGAAAGGGCTTACCTCCTGTGTGGACTCTCATGTGTTCATCTAAAGACCCTTTTTGGCTAAATCTTTGTCCACATAGCTCACAGGCAAAAGGCTTCTCACCTGTGTGGACTCTCATATGTCTGTTTAAAGTTGCCTGATGGCTAAATCTTTGTCCACAGAGCTCACAGGCAAAAGGCTTCTCTCCTGTGTGGACGCTCATGTGACTGTTTAAATTTGTCTTTTGGCTAAATCTCGTTCCACAGAGCTCACAAGGAAAGGGCTTCTCTCCTGTGTGGACTCTCATGTGACTGTTTAAATTTGTCTTTTGGCTAAATCTCGTTCCACAGAGCTCACAAGCAAAAGGCTTCTCTCCTGTGTGGACACTCATGTGACTGTTTAAAGTTGACTTTAAGCTAAATTTCTTTCTACAGAGCTCACAAGGAAAGGGCTTCTCTCCTGTGTGGACGCTCATGTGACTGTTTAAAGTTGACTTTAAGCTAAATTTCTTTCCACAGAGCTCACAAGGAAAGGGCTTCTCTCCTGTGTGGATGCTCAAGTGACGGTTTAAAGTTGTCTTTCGGCTAAATCTTTTTACACAGAGCTCACAAGCAAAAGGCTTCTCTCCAGTGTGGACTCTCATGTGTTTGTTTAAACTTCCCTTTTCACTAAATCTATTACCACAGAGCTCACAGGCAAAAGGCTTCTCTCCTGTGTGGACTCTCATGTGACTGTTTAAATGTGTCTTTCGGCTAAATCTCGTTCCACATAGCTCACAAGCAAAAGGCTTCTCTCCTGTGTGGACACTCATGTGACTGTTTAAAGTTGACTTTAAGCTAAATCTCGCTCCACAGAGCTCACAAGGAAAGGGCTTCTCTCCTGTGTGGACGCTCATGTGACGGTTTAAAGTTGTCTTTCGGCTAAATCTCGTTCCACAGAGCTCACAAGCAAAAGGCTTCTCTCCTGTGTGGACGCTCATGTGTGTGGTTAAATTAGTCTTTTGGTGAAACCTTTGTCCACAGTGCTCACAGGCAAAATGTTTCTGCTTTGTCTGGACTCTCGTGTGTTTGTTTAAATGTGTTTTTTGGCTAAAGGATTGAAGCCTGGCAGCATCAGTCTCCTTATTCAAATGGAGATGCTCTCCCTCCATACTAGACCAGAGTTTCTCCTGTTCCTCCTTTATGTGGAGAAAATCTAGGTGCTGGTGGTTGACACGAGCACTCTGTTCTTCTGAAGCTTCTTCTTTAACCAGAACCATCTGTTGAAAATCTGTAGGAAACACAGAAACATATTATGTGAATTACAGACAGCTGTAACTGTGTTTTCACACATATAACAGTTGTATTATTTCTTTAAACTGACAGTAGAATGAAATGCATTTACAACTGGAAACTGAACTTTGAGCCTCTATAAATCATATGAGCCTTAACCCTCAGGCTTCACTTTAATTTTCATACAAGAGTCATTAGAGGACAAAAACGTCCGCTTGTAAAAGTGGCTATAAAAAATGTATACATTGTTTTTTTTAAACTTTTTTTCATAGCTCTGTTGAAAAACTTCAGCCCTGCTCAAACATAAAAAAAAATTCAATCATTTTGAGGCTTTTAACCCCTGAAATGCCAGTTTGAATACTCAAAGGCATTGAAGTAATTTATGAATAAATAAATAAATAAATGAAAGAAAAACCACTAAAACTGTTATTTCCTAAAAAAGACTTATTTGTCTGGGGTGTTTAGAACAAATCATTCTTGATTATGTTATGAAATATCTAAAATTTTGAATTTTTTGCATTTATAGATTTTATAAAGCAACAGATTAAAAATTTACTATATACATATATATAGTATAGTGTATCTACATATATATACACTCAAGCCATCAGAGGACAAAAACGTCCACTTTTAAAACTGCTTTAAAAATGGTCCAAATTAATATTTTTTTCTGCTTTTTGGGTCTAAATCTTGGGATCAACTTCAGTTCTGATCAAAAATAATCAAATATTGAATATTTATCTAAATTTTAACCCTTTATATGCCAGTTTGATTATGTGATGCTCATTTTTCATGAAAAAAGCAGACAAAAGAGGAGATATTTTTCATAAAACATATTTTGAGTGACTGAAAATTTTTTTTTAAATCAGCCTTGGATATGTCAAGAGTCTGGCAAAATATCCCATTTTATGCTTTTTTAGTTTTTGTGTGTGTTGTGGGTTTTCGGTTTAGTTTAAAATATATCACCTTGAGTTTGGTTTAACCACCCAGTTTAGAGTTTGAACCTTTGGAGATCCTTATTTTGGTCCAGAACCCAGTAATATTTGCCCAGTGGGACATCCCTACTTATTTGTACTTTTGTTTTATTTCCCCACAGGCAGAATTAGTTTTATTCCCAACCTGTGGATGGAAAGATTTATGTATTTTTGTTGTTGTAAATAAACCTGATCATCATTTTAACTTTTAAATCCCGTTATTGTCCCTTCCTTTTTGCACATGAGCCAAACTCCCCAGGAAGGGTCGTAACACCACTCGCCTCACGCTCATAAGTGACCAAAACAAAGCAGCATGGAGACACTCCGTCTCCAACCACCTCTCAGGCAGCAGCCTGCACTCCCAAGTTCTACACGTCACCAGAACATAACCAACTGAAACACAATAAAAGCAGTGTTGTACAGAATGGGAGGCCTGTAGTGTTTATTCTCTTACAGTAACAATTCATCAATTTTTTTGAGGAATTTATTAGAGATTTTTTGGTTTTTATTAACTGTGCAATAGAAAAATAGTCATTAGATTAATTGTCTAAATAGTCATTAGAACAGTCGACTATTCGATAAAATAATCGTCAGAATAATCGTTTTAAAAATAATCGTTTACCCCCAGCTCTACTCCTTTATGAAGGGAGAAACTCTCCCGGTGATTTTCTACATCTGCGGTACAGACGAAGCAGCGCATTAGACCCCGGAAGTTGTTGTCCGTTGCCGGGAGATGAAGGCGGGCAAAACAGGAAAGGAATCTAGTAGCGGACGGACATTGTTCCGGGTCTTCAGTATTTGGCGGAGATGTTAGTGAAGACGGAGAAGAGGGCGAACTAGAGGGAAAACAGGCAGATTCCTCCTCTATTTACTAACTCCTGGGGATGCAACAAGTGGGCGTGGTGCGTCGACTACCGGATCTGATGTCGACAAATTTTTAGAATCGAGCCGTCAAAGTCATCGATGCGTCGCTACAGCTCTAACAGAAAAGTTTGCTGTGTTTGTGAATGAGTACAAAATAAAGGTTTATTACATTTAGTTGTTGTTTTGGCAGCTTTTAGAATCGAGCCGTCGACGTCATCGAGGCTTCGCTACAGCCCTACGCACCAGTAGGTTTTGTTTACACTCACTTCTTAGGAACGGGGAAATCTCCAAGCTAATGGGCGGGGCTAAAGACACGCGAAATACAGACATGAAAACGGGTCAAGGGTGAAAAAGTTCAGACTCCACATCGAAAAAAGTAGCCACACACACACACACACCCTCCCCAGCAAGTGAACCTGCTGCAGATGAAAGTACCAGTACTTTTGAACATTAACAGGGGGAGCAGAACTGGTACTTGAAGGCCACAGTGGCTGCATGTTTTCTACGTGTCCCTGCTCTCAGAGTAGCAAAGCCTTTGTTTACCTTCTGCTAACACGTTCCTGCTCCTCTGAGAAGAGACAAAGACTGAGACATGTCAGCCACATGTCCCAGTATTGTCCTCAGCTCTGAGGATGAAGACATCAGGTGATGGGGGAGTTGGTCTGGGGGTCTCCCAACGAAACATTTTAGTGAGCAGATGTTATTTGCCACATTCTAGCGCTTTTAACAGGTTATTAGGGCTGCCACGACTAGTCGACGCGTCACGACGTCGACAAAAAAAATAGTCGACGACTAATTTAACAGTCGACGCGTTGTTTATTGTATGAGCATTTTTTAAATCCTGCCTGCTGCAGCACGTTTGCTTCCTGCCCCGCTGCTTATATAATCTATAATATCAGATTAAAAAAAGTGGATTTTGCCTTTTTTACAGTCATTTGATAGGAACACCATGCAGACCTCATGTCTTCAAATGAGGGCTGTGACCTAGATTTCTTCCAGTTCTGCTCACATTTCCTGCATTAGGTGAAGATTCTCTGTCATCCTGGACATGATCATCCTGAGCTTTGATATAAAAACAGCTGGACATTTCTGGTCATCTTGAAGACGTTTTTCCTTCTCATCCTAGAGGCTTCTTCACATTGGTTGTGAGCAGAAGGCCAGAAATAAACACACCGATGGGCTTTCTTTAGTTTCTCTTTTGAAAACGTTTTAGTCTAAATAAAGGTGATGTTTTGTTCTGTAGCGTTAAGATCCTATTGTCTGCCCTTAACAGCTGCCCCTTCACACAGTAACAACGTGTAGGAATCGCCAAGGTCGGATGCTGGTTTCAGTATGTATACATTCCAGGAGAAGAGACAGAAGAAGAACGCTTTCACTTAATTAATCAAAGTACTTTATTCGTGATAAAGCTAATCAAAGCATATGTTGATCAATAATAATCAGGTGAATGATCTGTGAAATAAAGATGAGTTATGTGTTTAATGAATAAACAGGACTGCACCAGACAGACTGATCTACATTAACATGGAAACGCATGACACATTGTTCTCAACCATTCAGAACTTTCGTCTGTCGTAGGGCAGAATCTGGGTTGTTTAATGAAGTTGTCCAATCCGGTTTACTAAGATTTGTAAACAACTAGGGGATATAAAACAAGGCAACACCATTTTATACTCAGTTCCATTTTAACCTCAGCTCTGTTCGATCTGAGTTCCGAAGGAATTACATCATGCTCTCAACGTAGTTTTCAACCAGCTCTCGATCCATCACCGCAAAAGAGAGGTGCAGATGCACTTTCTACTTTAAGCTGAGAACTGTCAAGCTGGAGATTTCCGTCGTTTGAACAACAAGACGACGTCCCTTCAAAATAAGAGTGAACTCGCTGACACCTGCCGCTGCTACCGGAGTCGACCCGCAGACGGGCTTTGTAGTGCTGCGACCGCTGTTTCACCAGCTCCAGTACACCTGAAGGTCCGAGGACCTGGCAATTCCTGATCAAGACGGGAGGCTCCACATGGTACGTAGTTACGGCAAAATGGCTGCTCATGTCATCAGCTTCTGAAGCCTCGTGGTTCCTAGTCATAACAACCAGATCCGCTACGTCAGCCTAGAGATTCTGACACACACACACACACCAACACGAAACATCCAAATCCATATACATCCATCACAGAGTTAGTCCTGGTAGACTGTAAGAATTTATAATTATAGAAATTAAAGATTCTTAAACGATCCCAACTCTCTCTTTTCTTGTCTCTCAGTCAATACAAGGTGTTTAAGTAAACTCCCTGATGATAAAAACAACCACTTCTGATTATATTTAGATCTAATTACAGTGTATAAATATGCAAAATACAGATCACTACAGTTCATAGAATTAAAGTTCAAGTAGGACCTGTGGTTAGTTGGCTCATTTGAAAAATGTAATGTTTTTGACCTTGAAAGAATCAGGAATCGTTAGGAACTGGAACTGAAACAGGGGAATCGTTCAAATTCAAACGATGCCCAACCCAACTTTTTGTCTGAAGTGATTAACGTAACTGCAGTAAACATTGACAGATAAAAATAGATTGTGACTGTTGGTCTCTCTTCCGTTAGACCAAGCACGGGTACGGAGTAGATGGAGTTAAACACCTTTAAAGTTGTCAGAACGAGGAGACAAATGATCAGAAGTCCATTCACTGTTTCGCCGCTCATGAGGGGGAGAGTCTCTGCAGCAAGTCCCGCGACCTGCTCTTGCCAGATGCTTCGGACAGACTCTCGCCGTTCTGCTGAAAACGGCTGATTTTTATTGAAGATTACAGGAATGTTACATACGTAGTTTGCCATACACACACGTAATTCTGCCATCTGCACCTGCAGACGCACGTCAGCTAATAGCCTTGTTAATGAAAGACCAATTCATCCCAAGGACATGCAACCTTGAGATGATCAGGACACATCCTGCAACATCCTTTGCTAACAAAGACAGTTGTTCTTGTATTGAGGAACTGAAGGAAGGAACACTTTCACTCCCTTATGCAGCTGTTCAGCTTGAGCAGAAAAGGCACAGAGAGGTCTTTGATATTATAACAAGATTCCATGAAAAGGCATATAATAATGTATTTATGATAATATATAAGGGGCAAAAGTGAGAGATACATATTTAATCATATAAAAG